GGACGCAGGGGCTCAGCCTGGGGTGGCGCAGGCCTTCTCCGGACTGCGGCCTTGCCCAGGCCTGCCCAGCAGCTCTGCCTGCTCTGGGCGAGCAGAGCCTGACCCACGTTGCCATGTGTGGAGTACAAAGCTGAGAGAGGACCCAGGCCCCAGTGGCGGGGCGCGAGCCCTCGGGGACCCCCACGCTTCACGCAGCCAGGTCTGAGAGTCACTCAGCAGACACGTTCCATCCAAGCAGCTCCCCTGTCTGGGCCCTGGGCTGCCTGCTGGAGACTCCGGTGAGCTGGGCCGCCACCGGGAGGAGGCTTGGAACCCGCGTGCCCCGTGCTCTGCAGCTCGGGACACTCTCCCAGGGGCGGCCTGGGCCACAGGAGCCCACACACAGGACACACAGGGCACACACACACACACGCACACCTGTCCCCCGCAGGACGCTCTCACAGGGGCGGCCTGGGCCACAGGAGCCCACACACAGGGCACACAGTGTACACACACACATAGCACGCACACACACACCTGTCCCCTGCAGGACACTCTCAAGGGCAGCCTGGGCCACAGGAGCCCGCACACAGGGCACACACACACACACAGTGCACACACGCAGAGTGCACACACACAGTGCACATACACACACACACCTGTCCCCTGCAGGACGCTCTCTCAGGGGCAGCCTGGGCCACAGGAGCCCACACACAGGGCACGCTCACGCACACACACACACACACAGGGCACACACACAGAGTGCACACACACAGTGCACGTACACACACACACCTGTCCCCCACAGGATGCTCTCACAGGGGCGGCCTGGGCCACAGGAGCCCGCACACAGGGCACGCACACACACACAGTGCACACACGCAGAGTGCACACACACAGTGTACACACACACACCTGTCCCCTGCAGGACGCTCTCGCAGGGGCAGCCTGGGCCACAGGAGCCCACACACAGGGCACGCACACGCACACACACACACACAGGGCACACACACAGCACACACACACACCCCATCCCCTGTCCCCCGTCCCCCGCAGGCGGCAAGAGCAAGTCGGTGGAGCTGGAGGACGTGAAGTTCCACCAGTGTGTGCGGCTCTCGCGCTTCGAGAATGACCGCACCATCTCCTTCATCCCGCCCGATGGCGAGTTCGAGCTCATGTCCTACCGGCTCAACACGCACGTGAGCACACCTTCCCCTGGCCCCGCCCCGCCCGGCATGCCCTCCCCTCCGCAGAGCGGGCCTGCACATGGGCGACCAGCCGCGAGCCTGCCCGCTCTCCCCGCAGGTCAAGCCCTTGATCTGGATCGAGTCCGTGATCGAGAAGCACTCCCACAGCCGCATCGAGTACATGATCAAGGTCGGGCTGGGGCCGCCTCCCCAGGGCCCAGACGTGGGGGTCCCGGCACCAAGGAGACAGGCCGCCCAGCTCCTCCTTGCCTGCGAGGGCTGTGGCCAGGCACCCAGGAAGGCTTCCTGGAGGTGCTGCCCACACCGAGTAGAGCTCCCCAGCCCCAGTGACCGTGTGCAGCCCAGGAGACGGGAGAGGGGAGACAGGGGACGGGGATGAGAGCCTCGGGAGGGTGCCGGCTGACTGAAGTGAGGCGTGGGCTGTGTCTGGGGAAGCTGGCCCGGGAGGGGGCTCCCATGAGCCAGAGTCGGGGCATGCGCGGTGGGAGTGGAGCCGGCCCATCTCACTCTCGCCCTCGGCCCGCAGGCCAAGAGCCAGTTCAAGCGGCGGTCCACAGCCAACAACGTGGAGATCCACATCCCTGTGCCCAACGACGCGGACTCGCCCAAGTTCAAGACGACCGTGGGGAGTGTCAAGTGGGTGCCCGAGAACAGCGAGATCGTGTGGTCCATCAAGTCCTTCCCCGTGAGTGCCCCGGGAGGCAGGACTTCCTGTCCTCGCCCCTCTCTGCTGCTGTGGGGGGCATGGGGATGGTCCCAGGGAGTGAGGGAAGCTGGGACCACAGCAGTTGTCGCGCCGTGTTCATACCTTTCCCTTAGACCACAGCGGGGCCGCGTGAGCGGAAGTGCAGGAGACCAGAGCCCGCCGCCCCGGGTGCCTTTGTCTCTGTGTTTCCTGTCGCCAGGCTGTGACCCAGGGTAGAGGGTAGAGCCCAGTCCCTGCTCTCGCTGCAAGAGCGCTTTCCCTCGGGCTGTGGGCGGTGGTTTTGGCCATCAGTTTAGGGGCAGATTTTTCCAGGGCGAGTGACGTGCTGTGTGCCCTCCTGTCCCCGTGTGTGTGTGTAAATGAAAACCCAGTGGAAGAGGAGAGGAAAATCACAGAGGGTAGTTCCTGGCCCTCAGAGGCAGAGGGAGCCCCCGTGTACCAGGTCGCTCCCTGGCTCTCAGAGGTTGGGGTTTGGATTGTCCCGCTGGCTGGAGGCGCCGTCCTGGAAACAGCGAGTTGTCGGGGTCTTGGCCCCGGCTGGCGCGGTGCAGTCAGCTGTGTCTGGTGTGTGCAGCCCCCAGCGGCCCTGCTGTCAGAGGGCGGAAGCGACCCCCAGTCTACGGAACACTGCGTGGCTGAGCCGTGGTGTGCGGTGCGTCTCACACTTGGAATGGCTTCAGCCCCGGGGGTTCATCAGGCTGTGGCCCCACCGTGAGGCAGGGAGCAGCTGGTACCTCCTCCTCCCCTCGGTTTTTCCACACTGCCCATAAGGCGGGGTTTGGTGGTGTTTGAGAGGCAGAGAGCGCCCCGGTCCGCGGGCTCGTTCCCCCGAGTGCCGCCGCAGCGCCCAGAGCCAGAAGTGCAGTGCCGGCCTCTGTCGTGGGTGGCGGGAGCCCAGTGCCTCGGAGCTCTCGCTGCGCCTCCAGGTCACGCCTTTCAGCACAGGAGTGGAGGGCGTATCCGCGCCACACCAGGCCTGAGAAATCGCTTGGCCTGGGCCTTGCCGTGCCCAGGCTTCGGCAGGTGGAACTGAAAAGTCAGTAAGGCGAAGGCAGGCTAATTTTGGAGTTGATGGTCTCATCCGGCCTGCAGATGGGGTTACAGATGCCCCCTCCAGAGGCCCGGCCCTCCATTAGCAGGACGCTGGAGCGGGGTGTGGAGCTGAGACCTGGATCCGGCACTCTGGGCTGGGTTGGGCTGGAGGCGGTGTGGACCACTGCCCCGCATATCCCCCTTCTCCAGCTGTGGAGTGTTCCACGGTGTGGCTCTCATCCCCCGCAATCGTGCCGTGCTGACAGCCTGTGCCCTGACGGTGACACCCGTGCGCCTGGGACATGCATGGGCTCGCTGGGTGCCAGACAGCACGCGTCTGAGCTGTTCCTGGATTGTGCCGGCTCCTTTGGGTGGGGCTTGCGCCGCCACCCCCAGCGTCCCCAGCAGAGCGGTGCTCTCTGCCATTGTAAGCTGCGCTTCTCTCTTCTCTCGTTATCAGCAAGATGGGGGATTTGCATTTCTGTGTGTGGAGACAGCTGTTGCAGCCATCTGGGAGTGAACCAGCAGGTGGAAGATCTCTCTTTCTCTCTCTCTCTGGTGTGTGTGTGTGGTCTTCTCTCTAACCCTGCCTTTCAAATTAATTAGTATTAAAAAAGCTTTAATAAATAACAAAGGCTTCCCCATCTGTCCCCATGCCTGTCCTGGGGACTCGGCCTCTGCTCCTGGAAGCCTCCAGGGGGCGCTCTTCCCCTTCCGTTTCAGCCCCTAGCAAGGCCGGTGTGGCCAGCGGGGCGGGACGCAGACCCCGTTTCCCTTCTGCCAAGCTCGTTACTAGAGAGCCCCTCTCGGCCAGCGGTTTGCCAGGCCTGTTTATCAGCCCAGCCCTGCACGCAGCCGCCTCTGTCTGCACTTCCTCTCGCCTGGCCACCCATGCGGCAAGCGGGAGGGTTATTCCGGGCCGCACACCTGCTAGGTAGGGCCCGCCTCTGCCCCGCCCCACCCCCACTCTGCTCTTCCCTGCTTCTCCTCCAACTCCTTGCCCACTTCACTTCCCTCGGGAACTGCAGAATCCAAGCGTCTGCTCAGGACGTGTAAGGCAGCCGGGGAGAATTCCCACGGCGTGGTGACGCTCCGCCGTCCCATCCGCTGGCCCGTCTTCACCCCATCCCGTCTGGTTGCCTGTCCTCGTCCCCACTCTTGTGCCTTCTGAGAGCGCTCCAGTGCTGACCTTGTAGCGCTAACACAGGCCTGCCCGTAGCGTGCAAAAACAGCGCGCCAGTAAGGTGCGAACAACTCCCGGGAGTCTTCCAGGAGGGAGCCCCCCCCCCCCCATCCTGAGCCTGCGACCACGGAATGTCTGTCCCGTCTGTCCCCGGTCGCCCTCTCCCAGGAGCCCCCAGGGCTCCCCGCGGTTAGGGGCAGGTCTCGTTAAGATGGTCTTCTCAGCCCCGTATCTTGGGAGCTGGGTCTCCCTCCGTTTTACCTTCCTATGGGTCACAAACGTTTGTGCGCCAAGTGTCTTGGCGCCTGCCTGCCTTTCGTTGTTGGGATGGTTTTCCTTTCAGTTCCGTCTTAGTGTTTGTGAGAGGCAGCGTTCTCTCCCTCTCCCCTTCCTGGGCATCTCGTGGCTTCCGGCTACTCGTGGCCGTGGCCGTGGCCGTGGCCGAGGGGAGAGCAGCCTCCCGGTCGTCGGTCCTACCAGGGCCGCCCACCCAAGCGAGCCCTGCCTGCTTCCCCGTGTCTTCAGCGTAGGTGGGTGATGAGCTTGACCACACGCCTGTTCCGTGTCTGTCGACGGTCGCGGGATTTCTCTGCGAGCGGGTTGGATCTCGAGGAGCCCTGTGCGATCGTGGTGTTTTTCTTTTTAATGCCTTGCTGAATGGAGTTGCTAGCGTTGTGCAAGTGCAGGACCTTGGCCTGGTATTCGTGACCGGGCTTGTGGGTTTGCTACAGTCTCCGCGCCGTGGAGCCGTTTAAGTGGACTGGAGATCGTCTGCTCGCACAGGTTGGGAGAAGTCGGCCGCGCCCCCAGCTGCGTCTCTGCTGCTCTCTCGCCGTAGAAATTGGGTCAACGAGAGCTTCTATGTTCGTGGGGCGGGGCAGTGAGTTCGCCCGCATCGAGGGGCCCACGCCCTGGGAGGCAGTGCCGACGGCTCAGGTGCGGGAGGGAGACCCGGGGGGAGGCGTGGTCCTGGCTTTGGCCTGGCCCAGTCCCCGCTTCCTGCACGCGGACCCTGAGCCCACAGATGGGAGCCTGTGTCCCTTTCTCTCCGCCTGTCAGAGCGGAATGTTCTCCCCTGCTGGAGTCAGTCTGGGTCACTTCCATCCTAATCAGATTTTCAAACGAGTCTACATAAAAGGTTACACAAAGCAGCCCTTTTTCCTTTACGATTTCTCGTGTGTGTTTGTGCCTTTTTTTTTTTTTTTTTTTTGCCTTGATAAGGATACCTAGGGCTTCGTCTGCTTAGTTTTTTCCAGATTTCCTTTTTAATGAATTTGTTGTACTATTTTTGTGCTCTTTTTATTTATTTATTTATTTGACAGGTAGAGTTATAGGCAGTGAGAGGGAGAGACAGAGAGAAAGGTCTTCTGTTCGTTGGTTCACTCCCCAAATGACCACTATGGCCGGCGCTGCGCCAATCTAAAGCCAAGAGCCAGGTGCTTCCTCCCGGTCTCCCATGTGGGTGCAGGGGCCCAAGCACATGGGCCATCCTCCACTGTCCTTACGGGCCACAGCAGAGAGCTGGACTGGAAGAGGAGCAACTGGGACTAGAACCCGGCGCCCATATGGGATGCTGGCGCCACAGGCAGAGGATTAGCCAAGTGAGCCGTGGTGCCGGCCCCGTGGTCAGTCTTTGATTGAATTTCTCCCTCCTTGCTTTGTTCTGATCCTAGCTTTCCGAGTCAGGTATTCAAGTCGCTAGCTCTCAGCTTTGTGCTGGCCTAGGAATTCACACCACAGCTCCTTCTGCGAGCCCTGCCTTGGCCGCATTACCCCCAGGCGCTGACGGCGGGCAGGCCTTGGCTGCGTGATTTTCCAGAGCGAAGTCCGCTGGAGAGGTTTTCTTCCTCGATTTCCTAGCGGGAGGGCCTTCCCGCTGGCATCAGAGTGTTACTTGGGTGAGGTGCAGGAGGAGGTCAGCCACGTGCGTTCCCGTGGGCACCCGGGAAGCCGAGTCGGGTTGCTTGGTGCGTGGATACTCAGCCCCGCTGTCCGTCTCCCTGCAGCGGCGTGGCTGTGACCGCAGCCGCAGCCCTGTCCCGTTCTGTCGGCCTCTGCCTGTAGCCTCCCTCGCTCTGAGCCAGCCTCAACAGCTCAGGACGTGACGCACGGGGCGCGCGGCCTCCCTCACCCCACAGGCCTGCGCCCTGCTCTTCTTGCCTGCGTCTAGCGGGAGGCTGACCGGCGGTCTGGCTCGGCACCTCATGCTCCAGCTGACAGCGGCTTTTCTCCGCAGCCCGCGCTGGTGGCTGCCGATGCCACGCTCCTCTCCGTCTGCTCGGCCCCCGGCGGCCGGCTCCGCCAGCGTCCCCACTCCCGCCCTGGCCCCGGTGGCAGAGGGCAGAGACTGACCACTCGCCCCAGCCCTGTGAAGGGAGCGGGAGCCCAGCTGGGGAGCCCTTGCGCTGCCCCAACTCAGGGGGACGGTGCCTGCCCTGCTGGACCTCAGCCAGAGCCCCAGGAAGCAGAGGCCCTGGTGGCCCGGATGTGGCCCGAGCTCAGATGCCGCCTGCCCAGAGCAAGACTGGGCGCTAGGGACATCCAGGCTGAGCCCTGCTGCTCCTCGTGGCCAGGAGAGGTCCGGGTCCCAGGCCTTCCTGGCCCTGTTCTGGCCCCTGTGTCCAGCTGCCCCCGATTTGCCCTCGGAGGACGTGGGCCACCCCAGCCATCCGCAGGGTCTCCTGGCTTTTGTTCCTCCCCCGTTGGTATCCTTCACGTGTGATGCCTGAGCCCAGGTCATGGATCGGGGTTGGAGGTGCCCTGGCCGGGCGCCTGCGTCTGCCCTGGTCGAGTGGGGGCCTCCTGACCTCCCTCAATCCTGCCTCCTCCAAGTCCATTAGCGCGGGAACGTGGGGAGTGTGGCCATTCAGTCTCCAGCACGTGAACTTTGGGGCTATGTTTGAAGCACAGTAGGCCATCCACCGGGACCTGTGGCCCGAGCTGGTGGCGCCCTCGCCCGCTCTGCCTCCCCGTAGCCACTCTGCCTGGTTTTCCTCCCAGGCAGCCGCCCTCCCCTCCCCCCAAGCATGTGAGCCTCTCTCTCGCCCCTTTGGTTTCGCCGTGGCCCCTAAGCTGCAGGTCTGGGACCCTTGGAGGCAGGTGTGGTGCGCTCGGCTCAGAGGGGCGGCTCGCCAGGGGAGCCGGGGACAGGGAGACGGCAGCCCACCCAGGCCTGCTCCAGGGGCGGCTGCCGACCAGGCTGGGGTTAGGCCCCACCTCACGCGCGTTCCTGTGCCCGCTCCCCAGGGTGGCAAGGAGTACCTGATGCGGGCCCACTTTGGGCTGCCCAGCGTGGAGGCCGAGGACAAGGAGGGCAAGCCCCCGATCAGCGTCAAGTTCGAGATCCCCTATTTCACTACCTCAGGCATCCAGGTATGCGGGGCCCACAGGCGTCGGGGGCAGGGGCAGAGCAGGCGTCCCACGGCCTGCCCAGGACTCCCCGGTGCCGCCGGGCTCTGCCTTCCACCTTTCCCGCTTCCCCAGGGGTCGCCTTGTGCCGCGTGCAGGCACCTCTGCCCCCCAGCCTGCCCGCCCCGGCAGCCCCAGGGAGGCAGGGCCCCCGGGGTGGGGGGGGAACGAGGGGGTGGGCGTGAGCCTGCTCAGGGCTGCTGCCTGTGCCCAGGTGCGCTACCTGAAGATCATCGAGAAGAGCGGCTACCAGGCCCTGCCCTGGGTGCGGTACATCACCCAGAACGGAGGTGAGGGTCTCTGGGTCGGGGGGGGGGGGGGGGG